TCATAACAAATACTGTGCTGAGAAAGCACCACATAGTTGAACGATAAAGGGTTCCTTTATCACGTTAAGGGGGACATCCTCCATTTTAAGACATTCCATGTCTCTCCTTGAACTACCTCACCCAAGTCCATTCTTTACCAGAGGGGTCAGGCAGGTGGGGCTAACAGAGAGATGGGGAAACTTGAAAATAACCTTAAATGAGGTAGGAAAGTGTTGCAGGAAAGAAGCCCTAAACCCGCGCAATCATCCCCACCAAAACAGATATAGGAATTTGCTTCTTCAGCTGATCCTCTTTTTTCACTGGATTCGCATTGCCCACTTCATTATCCCCAGCTGTATTCTCTTGTTGCAACATTAGAATATTATTACTACTGGATTTGTACAACGACAGCCGTACGATTCTGATTCTCCTGTATTAAATATTGATATCCTGGAGGAGTGGCTGAGGCAAGTCCATGTTTGGCTTCCCAGAGCTCAAACATATGAACCAAGGAGAAAGTATAAATGTAATTATGTCAGTGTTTTTCTAATGACTGAGTAGTGCATTGGGAACAGACATGGGTGTTGTTCTATGAGATGACTATGAAAAATTATTATGGAGCTTTTTATGAGAAGAGCATAAGGAATACTCCTCAATACTTTTCTCCAAATTCCACCTAAAAAGCCTCTGGAAGAAGATGGAAAAATAGATTCAGAGGCTGAAAAAAAAGAGTGGAGGAAAAGGCTCTGAAAGCAAAAAGGTTGGTCATATCTCACTACTACTTTTTGTTGCATTCTAAGCGTTTCTGTAAAGTTAGATTGAAATCACAACACTTGGACCTTAGATTTGGCAAGAGTTGGTATCTGGATCCATTTAAAGCTCATTTAGAGAAAGGCCTAACCTGTCAGGACAAACTCGGATTCACAAGGGAGGTTCAGGTTCAGGGGTCCAGCTCATCTCTGGTGAAAAAGTCAAGTTAAAAACACTGGTGAACAAAGCTCCTTGTTTAACCACAGAACAGGTGTAGATTGTGCCGTGCAGTTGTGAGCTCCTGCACTGTTTTCCAGTAACATGCCCTGAGCTACAGAGACCACCTCAAGAAGCAAAAGGGATGTGTAGTCCCTAGGGTTCAAGCAAACATTGGCTGCCCTGCTTATATTGGAAACAAAAAGCCCATTAGTATCAGGAGTGGTGGTGCTTTCGTATTGAGGACATCTGTTTAGTCTGAACTGGACAGAGGCCACTAATTTATTTCATATAAGCCACCAAATAAAGCTGCCGGACTACAAAAAAAAAGCTACAACTAGTCTGGTCTGGATGTGAACCAGAAATCTGGTTTGTATCAAGAAGTAAAAGGGGCTTTTATCACATTAGCAATCCGCTGAACCAGCCAGTTGCTCTGGACCCTTTAACAGCATTATTTTTGTGAAGTGAGCAAAAAAGCAATATATTTTTCAGTGAATTCCATACTGATTTTGAAAGGGGAAATGAAAGGAGTATCACTCATTTGCCATATGTCCCATATTCTTTGCCTGTTATTTTAGAAGTAACAGGAAGGGTTGGTAAACCGCTTGTTACTAGAGACTGGTCAGAGCTGGAAGATTCAGATCCAACTTTTCCATAACCTAGTGTGTGCGCATTGGCCCAGTGGGTGGCCAGTGGGAAAGTCTGGATCAAAGCCAGACTTCTCAAGTTTTTAGGTGCCCAGATCCAGGTGCTCGAGTTAGCACCATCTCTACTCATAATGTGAGGGACCTTGCATGCTCCTAAGCTTCAAGGGCTATAGTTTAAAAAGGTTTGCATTCACAGGCCAGATTCAACCTTCCTTTAAACATTTTTTTCAGCTAAACTCTGATCCCTAAAAAATCTCAGCATCTCCCTTCACAGCTCAGTGGCTGCCACGGGGCCAAAAGCCTAATTCTGTACTAAGTGACACACCAGGCAATTTAGTGTACCGAATTTCTGGCTTTAAGCTGTGGTTTGTTCACGTCGTATCCCATCCATCCCTTCAAGCAGTGCCTGTTTGCACTCTTCTTGTTGGGCAAGAGTAGTGAAATGCAGCAGAAACCAGATGTTTCAAATATTGGGTTTCTCTCAGAGCTCAGTGAAGAAACATTTTGGGTTGAGATTCAGATTCATGTTAATTTATTGGCCTCTTTTCATGTCAATAGTTGAGCATCATATAGTTGAATGAGGAAAACCAACCAGCTAGAGCCTATGCAATTCACGGTCACCCAAGAAGCTTTCTACACACTCACTTCTAAACCACCCAGCCTGGCAAGCCAGCCCCTAATTCCTTTACAGGCATTTACAAATTGAGAGATTTCAAGGTTAGGGGGAACTATTATAATACTCTGTTCTGACCTCCTTCACCATAAAGCCTATAAACTTTCACCAAGTGATTTTTGCTTCAACACATAAAACAATATGCAGCTAAAACTATGCACAATAACTTTGCAGTTTGCTTTGAATATTAGTAATGTAATGTCTCAGTCTAGTCCCCCACACACACATAGTACAGTTCTATCTCCTTTATAATGTACAACTTGCTGCTAAGAGGATGAGGGTTATAATATAGTTAAAACAGAAAAGAATTAAGTATTCCTATGTCTGAATTTAAAATACATTTGTCTTCATTTTGTCTATAACTCGACTTCTGTATAAGCAGTAAATATAAGGAGCCCAGTATATGAATGATAGCTTGGTTTCATGAGACTTCAGAATTAGCTTTTATACCAGAAAGAATCAGATAAGTTTGCAAAAGCTTGGAGTAAATATAGAAACTCTTGGGTCATTATGCATATCAGTCCACAAAACTTTCTGAAGTTGGCCAATTGCTAATGCTAATATATTTCTGTCTGTACATCAAGCTGCCATTGAGTGTGCAATACACACTGGAAAAAAATTATTACTGAGAAAATTAGAGGCAGATGGACCTGTCTCTCACTGCAAGTTTTCCTGGACAGAGTGGTCAAGCAATAAAAACAGAACAGCAAGCCTACACACTATGTAGTCAATAAAGTCTTTTCAACTTCTGATTAAAATTTACAGGTGTGGCATGTGCTAATCTAATGCCCATTACTGCAAACTTAGGGCTCTTACCAGCATTTCTGCTTCAAAGGGTTGTGTAATGTCCAGCTCTTGCAGGCTTCAAAATGCTTTTTGTTTTCAACCTTACATTTGGTCTCAGTGCTCCCAAGGATCTTAGATGGTAAAAGATGCTGAAAGTTGCAGTTATCTGTAGTCACAGTGTTTAAAGTCAGGAGAACCATTCGATTCTTGCTTACCATTCTGATCTCCTGCTTACCACAGGCCATCAGCATCACCCACTGCCCCTTACTGAGCCCAATAACTTGGATTTGGCTAAAGCAGTTCTGCCAGAAGTGCATCTGGTTTGGACTGGGAGCCATCCAGAGCCATCAAGAATCCACTATTTCCTTTTTAGCTTGTTTCACTGGTGAAATCACACTCACTGGTAAATTTGCCTCTGCTTTCCAATTTGAATTCATCTGGCTTCAGCATCCAGCCATTGGTTCTTGTTATGCCTTTCTCTGCTGGGTTAGCCAGCCTGTTAGCCCCCAGCATTTCCTCCCTTCAAATGCCTTTATACATTTTAATCGAGGCATGACTCAATCTTCTTTGTGATAAGATATAAATAGATGGAACTGTGTAAAGCTCTTACTGCAAGGTGCAGTCTCCAGTCCTTGTATCATTTGTACAGTTCTTTTTTGTGCCATCCCCAATTTTTCAACCTCCTTTTTAATATAAGGCACCGGAACTGCAAGCTGTCTTCCAGCAGCGGTCTCACCACTGTACACAGATAAAATCAGCCCTTTCGCTCACTACAAAGCCTGGCTGCTAAGCCAGGTAGCTTAAATCCCATTTTTACAGGACTAAGTATGCCTAAATTTAGATACTACCTTTACATGGAAGCGTCTACAGGCCTTTCTATGCATGTGTGCTATGAAGTATAATATTCCCAGAACATGTGCATTCAGAGCTGCCTACGAACAATGCCAGATTATCAGGTTTATTGACCAAAGGCTGTGCTGCAGAACAGGTATCGCACGGGGAACAGCAGGGCCTGTGGGAAAACCACATCCCGCCTCACTCCTGTTAGAAATTAAAAGCGGTCAGAACCTCTGTTAGAGGTCAAAAGATAGCCGTCTCTCAAAGTCCATGCAGGGCCAGAGTCTGAACTGGAGTAAAGCCACACATTTGTTCCACTTGAAGATTTGGCGCTGATGCTGACAACATGGGTGCCAACTGCTGTGTCTGTGTGATGGACACATGTGTCCAGCATTAATTAGACTCACCCCACCATCTCAGTGCATATACCACAGACCAAACAGGTGTACCTTGCCGCTGCTGCCAATCTGAACTATACCCCCAAAAATGCCAGGAAATGAAAACACTACTGATCTCCTGAGCAATCCCCTGATATACCTAGTTTTTGTTCTGTTTTGAACCACTCCCGTGGGTTATCACAGCAAAGGCATGATGCAGTACGTGCTATCGAGCATACAACGTGTTGCAGTATCTAGTCAGGGTCAGGCCTGGGCGGAGTACAAGTTACTGAGCTTCCTGCCTCTTGTGGGTTGCGATCAGACATTGTGTGTTTTTGCAGTGTTTTTTTGGAGGGTGTAATTTTAGCATGTGTGTCAATAGAAAAAGGAACAAAAACATTTAATATGATAAATATAAAAAAAAAAAAATGTCTCGATGAGCCTGGCTACAGCCAATGGGAAAGTGAGGAACTGACCAAAGCCCCCTCCCTCTTCGGGAATATCAGCACTTAAAGCCCTACCTTCAAGAACGTGTCGCTGCCTTAAACATCAGTCGCTGTATGAATCACCTTGGGAACTCGTGGCAAAACAATTACCTGTGATATAGGCCACGTCAGTGGATCCTCCAGGCAGGTCTAGGTTCCTTCTGTTCCCCTTTCAAAAAGTGTGACTACAATAAGCGTGCTGCACACTTTGTTGCTATTACTGCTATAAGCCTGTTGAATTTCTTACAGCCCTGAAGTCCTGCCACGGGGAAAGGCTGAGAGATGGCCGAAGGGAAAATAACAACTTTCACCGCCCTGACGGAAAAATTCAACCTTCCCTTGGGGAATTACAAGAAACCCAAACTCCTGTACTGCAGCAATGGAGGCCACTTCTTGAGGATACTTCCAGATGGCAAGGTAGATGGGACAAGGGACCGAAGCGACCAACACAGTAAGCAAATCAGAAATGTGCTCTAGACCCGGCTCTTACTTCCCTTGTGGACCAAGGGCTACCTGTATCTTACTGCCCCTTTCTCTCAGGGAGGCTGATCTTACTCATCGGCTGCTTTTCCAGGCAGGGAAGGACAGGCAGTCTGTGCCAGGTTCACTCCCCTCCCCATGGCTGCGCACCAGCCAATGGCTCAGCATGTGAAACAAAGAAGGTAGCCCTGTATATACACAGACAGGCAGTACATGCAGTACCTCGCATGTATGAAAGAATAAGATAGGAACAAAGTCATAAAGGGGGGAGACAACAGCCAGAGAGACAGCATTTCAGTCTGTCCTCACAGCCAAACTACACACAGCCAGGTTGCAAAAGGTGTTGGCAACCAGGAGAAAGACGTATAGGAAGATCCTCACAGCTTATATCCAGGCTCTGCAGTCAGGCATAAATCTATTATATCTTTGCATTTACTGCAGTCTAGAAATTTCGGCACAGAATTGAGATTGTGAGGAACCAGTTTTCCCAGGTGGTGTGTCGCAGCTGTGCTTCTTTGCAAGTTAAGTCATCTTTTGGAGCGAGAGCCGAGGCCCAGATTCCTCAGTGTGGAATGTATTTTATCTGTATGTTTTGCCCAGAATGTGCTCGTGTCTTTGGGTAATCTTCCCTTTCCCTTATGTAGCAAAAGCACAGTGCATTCCTGTGGGACGTGCAAGCTCCCCAGTGGAAAGATTCGGCCAAAAAAAAGAGTTCTTCGGTGATGGATTGTTTAACAAAATTACAGTTAATTTCTTTCTGAAAGCAACTGCTAAATCTATACTGAACATGTGTGTTTTATGTGCTTATGCAGCCTCCCCTGTCATAAAGAGCAGGCATGGTACCATTGTTAACCACATGTCTAAGCGAAACATTAGACAGACTTAATCAGTTAGCAGAGTCCCCACCTGTGACTAGATTCTTTTCCATTTCTTTCCTCCCCTATCTCTTACTAGGGTCGACACAAGAACCAGACCTAGTGTAGTCCCTAGAAAGCCTCTCCAGCAGACAGCAAAGAGATGAATCCCTTGTCAAGCCACTGAAGCGCAGAGGGCATTTTCACCGTGCTGCAGGGATGGGGAGGCACATTAAAACACCTGGAGCGTCTCGTGTAAATGGTAGCGGAGGTGCTTTATCTAAAGCTTGTCTAACGAGCATCTAACGAGCTTTAGCTAAAGTGCCTTCGCCATTTTGAAGCTCGGGGGCGCTGATACAAGAGACACGGAGGCTGGCTGGAGTGCACTAATTAGCACGCTCTGATGTGCAGCAATAACAGTGTGTCGGAGCAGCCTCCCAGAATGTGTACAGGCACACAGAGAGACTCTTCAGGTAGAGGTCCCCGTTTGTCTTAAAGTTTTCAGTTTCCTGTATTCACTTCCATCTTCAGAGATGAGGGCATTTCAGACTTTTGAGGCTATGTTAGAATGCTGCTCCAGCAAACGGCTAAGGCTCTTCCAGTTTGATCAGAGAGGGTCTGTCCTAGGGCAGCTTCAAGAAGAGCCCTTCTGTGCTCCAAGTCAGTACTAGAAGTGGGCTCGACTTGCACTATTTGGATTTGAACTTCACCAAAGCTAGAAGCTATTCAGGTACAAGTTCTCTCATCAGGCCATCTCAGGTCATTAAAGAAACATTACTTTGCTTGTGAATTCAGTGGATGAAGGACCCAGATGGCCCCTTCCAGTGCTATGTTCCTAATACTACAATAGGAGAGAGACTCTTGTGCCACTAGAAGTGGTCTTCACAGAAAGCTTGAAAAGGGCCTTGAAACGTTCTGCAACAAATTAATTCCAGGACCCAAACCGAGGTCACTGTGTTCTGCTTACCTGATATCTCCCTGCAGTCTCCATTGGGTGCAGAACTATTCATTACTTCCAGTCCTGCCCTGCTATCTCTGATTGCTGTGCACTGTCATACAGTGATGAATATCATCCTGGTGGCAGCTGCATTTCAGTTGTGGTTGAAGGGCTCTCTGCCTGTAGACTGAACAGGAGTTAAATTGTTAAACTGATCCTTTGACAGGGAGGTACAATATATCTTTGGTGCTATAGGTAACCTTTTTTTATTGAGACAAAAAGAAATACTGTTTTCTTTCGTTCCATTATTCATTCATTGGGGAGCAAGTCAAAATACTATTTCAGCAATACCAGTCCATGCAAAGATTACAGCCCTTGGACAAATTCAGTCACTGCTTGCAAGGGTTTAAAGGTCAATAATGCATTCCTGCCACTGACTTCATTTTCCTCACATTGGCATATAGGTTTGGTCTCTCATATGCTTGCACTGTGGAGTATTTGCACAGTTCCAGGCCTGTGTAAAATTACTATTTTCTTTATGAATCACATACACGGTGTGTGCACTTCCAGTGACTCCTGCAGTTTCCACCCATCTTGCCATAAACGTTTCTCTTCCCAGCCTCTTGGGAGCATTCAGCTCCATTGTCTCCACATTGCCATCCTCATGAGGTGCATGAGAGACCTTTAAGGAAGCCAAAGTGCTGTCTTTTTAGACGTTCAGAGTGCTCTCTTTCAGAGCTTTAAGAAATAAGGGTAAGAACTTCTCCATATTTTATAGGAATAGTCTCAGGCCAGCAGTATTCTGGCTACCTTCCACCCCAGAGGTGGTTACATTTCACTGGCACTATGGATGTAAATGTGTTTAAAATTAAGAAGATTCTTCAGGATGAAAACTCATATAACTATAAAGTGCTGTTGCCAAGGCTTTCAGACCACCTTTCTCTTTTTCTGTGTCCAAATGATTTGTTTCTTTTAGTTTTGCTTTGTAAAGTTCTATGGGATATGTGATGTATGAGGAGCATTACACACGCATGTGCATGTGCACATGCACACACACACCAACCAAATTCTATTCATTTCATTTAAGCTAGGAGAGACTTAATCAGTGGAATACACTCACATCTCTCACATTTCTCTCATCTCTTATATCTGTTAAGGAGCCTAATCCAGTTCCTGGGTAAAACAGACCAGATTTGTGGGCCTGGCTAAATTGTGCTTGGTGCAGTATGCAAGAAGAGATACTAGGTGACCCTAAGCTAATGTTTTGCTCCCCCATCTGGGGACACAAGTTCTTCCCTAAGCTCACTGGCAAGAGTGGTCAGTCCTTTAGGGACCATATACCAGCAGGCAGTTGCTGGGGTGCAAAGTGATTTGCTCAAATATCCTCTCACTTCTGACGCACCATGGCATGGCTCCTGACCCTGTGACGCAGCTCTTATGCAAGGCAGAGTTGGAGCGGGGGACACAGAGCTTGCTACACACAGTCATTATACCATGTGGAGATTCTGCTAGTGCAGAAAAATCTCCAGCTGCTATTACATTAAGGCCATTTTCTGCCTCATCTGTGATGCCTGATCAACTAGTCAGGTCCAGCCCTCAAACTCTAGAGCAGTGGGGGCCAATCTTCTTAGCAGAGATGCCACTGATTAAGCCTCATGCCCTCTCTGAGTGCTACTCTGAACCTCTTCCCTAGCCCCATCTTTTGTTTTACTTTCTGCTCCCTGCCCTGTGCTTCCTGCTAAATCTACTGCTCTGCTTTCTGCTCCTTGCCCCATGGAATCCTGTGCTGCCCGCTCCCTACCCAACCTGCCACATGACAGATCACAGAGCCTGCCCGTGCCACTTGTGCCACAGGTTCGCCACCCCTTCTCTAGGGCTAGGGACAGACATTCAAAAAGCCTGAGCCTGAACTGATTCACTCTTTACAGGTTAGTCTAAGCGGCGCAGCTTGAAGTGATTAATAACTGGACAGACATTCTCTGTTAAAATTGGAAAGGCAGCCACATTCCTGCAGTGGCTCAAGCCAGAAGCTGGGGGGCACTAGAACATGCCAGCCACTGTCAAAGAAAAGGGAAGAGAGATGCCCTCCAAGGCTCTCACCCCTCCCTGCTGGAGTGGAGGGGGCATAACCAGGCACCAGCCCTGGCTAGCACAACACAGGGGCAGCTGCTGCCAGACTGAGGAGTGAGGATGGGGAAAAAGTCCTTTCTCTGAAGCAAGTATGTATTGAACACAGCAATTTGCAAAGCATACAACAAAAACTACCAAATTCTTGGTAGGAACTACCAAAAGGAACTATCAAAAATCTTCGCCTAAACTAAGATACAGCCCAGTAAAACACAGCGTACACAACTTAAGTCTAACTTAAAATGTAAACCAGTAAGACAAGAATTAGTTTTACTAATCCTGAGGGCAGAGTGTCTGCTTACAGCCAGGTATTCAGAAATACTTTGTTTAGGTATTCCCACCTTTTACATGTTCTGCTTTATAGTGTAAATGTAGCTATCTGCATTCTTTGATGAAGCTGTTTGCAACTTCCCTTAACTACATCTCCAGCACGTGTGATGATTGTCAGGTCTTTCCCAACACTTCCCACCTCTCAGCCTGGTCCTGCAGGTCTTAGTTCTGGGCTCACAGGTGCAGGGCTTAGATCTGCATACAGAGAACTAGGTTGCTTCTCTCCTCCACCCTCCCCACCCTGCTCTGGGACACACTGTGGAATTAATCCCCTCCCTGCCTGGCTGTAGGCAAGCCACAGAGACTGCAGCCAAAACCCTAGGGAGAGAGGGAACAGAGGAAGAAATTAACTCTGTTCCTGCCTGGCTGCAGTCAAGCCATGGAGGTGAGGCTGGGGCTAGCAGACCCCAGCTGTGGTCCGCAGGGTTTGTCAGCAAAAGGGGTGGGAGAGAGGGGAAGGAAGGAAGAATTTGCCTCAGGGCCCATGGCAGGCCAGCATCTGGCCACACCCTGCCCCTGCTGTGGCTAGAGAGCAGAGGGGAGGGGCCAGCCCTGCTGTGGAGCAGTTGAGCAGAGCTCCGCCCAGCCCAGAGAGCATGCTGGGATGCTGGTGGGTCTGGTTTAACTTAAACCAGCAAGGGGTCTGGGACAGACCCCTCATAAACCAGTTTGAGCCAAATCAGTTAAGTATGATACTACATTCAACCAGGTTTATCTCAAACC